GCGACGGCCGGCGTGTCGCCCGCGAAGCCGTCGTCCAAGTAGAGGATTCAACTCAGGCGCCGTCGGCGCCGTGGCACGGCACGCGGAGGCGGCCTCGGCGGCGCGCTGCAGAGCGAGGGAAAACCGCACGGGCCCCAGAGGTCGCCCTGCTGCACTCCGCTCTCGGGGCGGACTGTCTGCTGGCCCAGGAAGAGAGGTGGCGGGCGAGAGTAGCGCCAGTCAGCCCAGGGCGCCAGCCTGGGGAACTCTTCGCGGACCGCGCAGAGCGGAGCCTGTTCGTCCAGGGCGTTGAAGGCGTTGGACAAGTCCACCTTCACAAGCACCTTCCCCCGGTCCCCGAGTTGGCGGGTCCACCGCTGGCGCGCGACGTGCGCCGCCGCCTCGGTGCAGCCGGGGGCCGCGACGCCGAACTGGAGGGCGGCCAGTCGATCGCGGCGGCGTCGGCTATACCTCGTGGCAGAGGCACATGCCGACGAGGCGCCAGATCACTTCCCCGACGGCGACTCGGCAGGGCCACTAGAGAGGCGCCCGCGAAGTGCTCAGACACGGCTGGCGGGGCCTGCCCCCTGGCGCAGAGGTCAACGAGGTCTTGGGGCAGGTCGACGACCTCGTCCCTCTGGGCCGCGTTGAAAGCGAGTCTTTCAAGTGTTGGAGTCGGAGGCGCGTTGGGCCCGGCAGCCGAGCCCGGGGGGCCCGCGCTCCCCTCCGGACCGCGCCCCCGTCAATTTGCAAGGCAGCAGTCGCGTGGACAGCCGGGAGGCTGGCGGGGTCCACAGCTCGGCGATACGCCCCGCGCATCTGTTCGACGACGTCGGGGGTGACCTCCGCGGGCGTGTCCTGCTTGTCAGAGCCGAGCAGCTCTGGGCGTCCGCGGCGAGCTGCGCGCACTTCTCTGCTGTTGGGAGGCTTGCGACGGTGGCTTGGCAGCGCGAGCCTCGACGGCCTCCTCCCGCAGGGAGGCCCCGCCCAGCCGGCGCCGGCACAGCGCCTTCGCCTGCGCTTCGCCAGCCGCCCCGCTGCCCCCGCCGCCGCGTGCGTGGGGGCGCAGGGCGCACTTCGGGAGCATCGCAAGCTCAGTCCACGCAGCCTCGGTGTTGTTGCGCTCGGCGTGGGCCACCGTCTGCGCCGGGTGCCGTGCCCAGAGGTCCGTGGCGCCCATCGGGACGCTGCGCTTGGTGGTGGAGCGCTTGGAGAAAGCTTGCCGGAGGGAGGGGGGACCTGCGGGCCCGCTTCGCGGTTTGTCGTTGGCGGCGGGGGCGGCGGCTGCCCTGGCTGCAGCCGCGCGCGCGGCAGGGCGGCATCGCGGGCAGATGCCGCCGTAGCGCGTCAACAAGAATCGTTGGCAGACCGAGCGCTGCCCCAACTGGTGCTCTTGCAGGTACTCTGGCGGGACTGGCGGGGACCCAGGGAATCGCCTGGCGGCGTGCTCGTTCAGACGTGGACGCATGCTGTGGTGGGCCCCCCAGCCGGCGGAGGACGCAGCGTCGCTGCGGGGGCACCCAGGGACTGGACAGTGCACCTAGACGTGGGCACGAACCCTGCGCTGGTGAGCAGGATCGGGCGTCGGGGGAAAGCCCCCCTGCCCAGCTGGCGGCGTAGCCTACGGGGCTTCGGGGACTGGGCAGGGGGCGCCGCGGCGGGCGCCGCAGCGGCTGCCTGCGGGGCAGCCATACGTTCCTCGGCGGGGGCCCCAGCCGCGGCGGCCTGACCAGGCACCGCCGTCGGAGCAGCCGCGGGCGGCTGGTTAGGGGCAGCGGCGGCCAGGGCCTGCCGAGCCGCTGCGCCGCGGCCAGCGGCAGCCAAAGCGGCCGCGCGCAGGCGCTCCTGCAGGGGGGGCGCCCGCGTCGACGTGTACAATCCGCCCGTGTCGATGCCATGTTTTCAGCGTCGAATCCAGAGAATCCACGTCAGGGTCGTTGCCTTCAGTGAGGTTTTTCCTGAGTCGGTTCCCCGGGGAACCTCGGGGAGGTCTGGTTTCGGCGAACGTGTTGCGGACGGTTCCGTCGCGGCCAGGAGACGGGCAGCCGCTGGCGCTAACCCTGACGAGGGGCAGCTCGCGGAGGCTGCGGCTAGCTGCCACGGCGACTCCTGTGGGAGAGAGCGGCTGCGGGCCTCGCTGTCGAGGGCGTTGCTGCCTGGGGGAGGTACTGGCTGGCGGCCCTCTCCTCCACGGCGGTGCGTGCAGCGTTGGCGCTCGAAGAGGCTCGTGCCGCACGCGTGCGAATCGGAACCTGCGGGAAAGCCAGGCGACAGCACGGCCCGGATCAGCAAGGCGGCGCGTCCTGCCCAGGCCGCCAGAGACGACAAACATGCGGATCACCAGCCCAGAGTCAGCGCCATGGTGACCACTATCGTGATGGACATGCAGATCGGCTGCGAGAAATGCACATGTCCAAACAAAGCGGCACCCCTCGTTCCCGCAAGAGCGCGCTGAAATGGAGCTCCATGCAAGGCCGCACCGAACGCGAGAACTTCCACGGGCCCCAGGCGCGCGCTGGCTAGCGCCCAGGGCCCAGCTCATGGCGTCGACGAGTAATTAGGTCCGGCAGGGGATGCACGCAGAAATACGCCATGTCCAAAATGGTCGATATCGGTTGCCAGACCTCGCGGTGGATCCTGCTAATCGGGGTTGCGACAGTCGCTGGCGGCTGCGGCCACCCAGCCTGGGGCATGCTACTGCCGAGGGGGCTGGACGACGTACTGGAAGCTCCAGAGGCGCTCGCGGCAGAGCTGCGGGAGTGGGAGTGACAGCAAAGCTCGGCTGAGTTGGTGTAGCGGCCTCGCGGGGGCTCTGGGGCCGCACCCGAGAGCTGGTCCTCGCAGTCATGGTGGCTGTGGCGGTGGTGGTGGTGGGAGTCGTCGTGGTGGCGGTTGTGGCCGCTGTAGTGGCCGTGTGGTGGTGGTCGTCGGCATGCTGGTTGCAACAGTAGTCGTGCTGGTGGCGCGTCTGGCTACGGGGTACTGCGAGAGTTGGTGAGGTGCCGCACACACCGGACCCGATCTTGGGAACTGCGAGAGTTGATGCGGTGCCGCGCACGCCAGTTGACGGAACAACCCTCTCATCAAGATTGCGATGGTTGGGACCCCTTCCCCCGTTCGTGTACTCGTCGTCTTGCGGGTTGGTTCTTCTCGCGATGATGGTTGTAGTGCTGTTTCCAAAAGTTCGTATTGGTTCCGATGGTGCTGCTGGAGCCCGTCGTACTGGTCACGGTGATGTTTATGGTTACCGTCGTGCAGTTCGCAGTGGTGTTGCTGGTCATCGTCGTGTTGGTCACGGTGATGCCGCTGGGTATCGTCGTATTGGTCACGGCATTGCTGCTGGAGCCTAGTCTCAGTGATGTTTCTGGCTACCGACGTGCCAGTCTCTGTGGTGCAGCTGGTCAGCGTCGTGATGGTCACGGTGATGTCGCTGGGTATCGTCGTACTGGTTCCGGTGGTGCTGCTGGGGCCCTTCGTGTTGGTCACGGCCATTCTAGTTACCGTCGTGCCGGTCACGTGGTGCTGCTGGTCACCGTCGTGTTGGTCACGGTTATGCCGGCGGGTACCATCCTATTACAATTGGTGACGGTGGTGTTGCTGGAGCCCGTCGTAATGGTCACGGTGATGTTTATGTTACCGTCGTGACGATCACGATGGTGCGGCTGGACAGCGTCGTGCTGGTCACGGTGATGCTGGTGGGTATCGTAGTATTGGCACACTGTGGTGCTGCTAGACTGGCCCACTCTGAGTCTGACTGGATCACTCTTCTCCTTCTCCTCCTCCTCCTCCTCGTCCTCCTCCTCCTCCTCCTCCTTCTCGTCCTCCTCCTTGTCCCCGTCCTCCTCCTCATCCTCCTCTCCCTCCTCCTCTTCCTCCTCCTCCTCCTCCTCCTCCTCCTCCTCCTCCTCATTCTCGTCCTCCTTTTTCTCCTCATCCTCCTCCTCCTCCTCCCTCCTTCTCCCCCCTCCTTCTCTTCCTTCTCTCGCACGCCGTCGCGCGGACGCGTGCCCGAGTGCCCCTCAGCCTCAGTGGCCGAGCATCGCGGGGCGGATACGCGCCGCCGTGCGCGAGATCACCTGCACCAGATCTCGCGTCGGAGGAAGCGGGTCCTGAGGGGAGCGGGTCCGCAAGTTCTTTGACAGTTTTTTCTGTATTTGGGGCCCCTCCTTGGGCCCCGGGCCCGTCAAAAAGCGGCGCATGAACAGGATGACAGGCTGGTCCCGCGAGACTGCCCAGGGATACTGGACCCCTGGTTTCCCTCAGGATCGGTGTCCCAGTAATCTCGTGGTGGTGGGTCTCCGTTTTGAACACGCAGCGCCGCGCCTTTTCTGGATCCTTCCCTCTCCCCCTCCTCCCGCGCTCGTCCTCCCATCATCGTTCCAGCTCTCTGGTGTCAGACCCCGCACTCGCTTTGGGGGCCCAGTGGAAGCTGCACGGGATGCCCCAGCGGATGGGTCCGCATGGCGGCTCGCGCGCCGCACGCCCCACGCGGAGCGAGGCCCCACGGGTCAAGCCCCCCGAAGGCCCCAGGGCCCGGGCCCGCTCGGCGGCGCCGCCCCACCTTCGGTGCATATGCCTCACACGTGTGTCGTGACCCCACGCGGGGAGCTCCACCAACCGAAGGCCCAAGTGGCAGGGTCCGCATGGCGGCGCCGCCATCCTCCTCCTCCTCCTCCTCCTCCTCCCTCCTCCTCCTCCTCCTCCTCCTCTCCTCCTCCTCCTCCTCCTCCTCCTCTTCCTCCTCCTTCTCCTCCTCCTCCTCCTCCTCCTCCTCCTCCTCCTCCTCCTCCTCCTCCTTCCGTAGCCATTTTGGCTTTAAAACCGTTCTGGCTCAATTGCTCCCCGGGGCTTTTGGGCCGCGCTCCGCACCTTTGCGAGGTGTTCTGGACGACGGGTTTCGCCGCCGCGCCGCGTGCCATGGCGAGCCCCGACTAAGACGGAGCAAAGCAAGCAATGAACTGTTGATGTGGGCCCTCCCCTGCGGGGGCCGCTGGTGCTCGTGCGGGGCAGCCTACTGGCAGGCGCCCTCGGGCCCGCCGCCGGTGCTGGAGGTCGTCCACCGGTGGGCGGATCAGGGCCAACCGCAGGCGCCGGAGGCGCTTGGCGCCATCGTGGCCCTCCGCGCCGACATCGCAGGCTTGCGCGCGGAGTTCAGCGCCGTGGGCGAGCGGCCAGTCCAGGCGGGAGCGGCGGCGGTCGAGGCCCCGAGGAGCGAGGTGCAGCAGCACGCCGACGAGGTCGACGAGGCCAGCGAGGGCGGCCGGCAGAAGCCGCGGCGCCCTGAAGCTTGCCAGGTACGCGGGGCTGCCGCAGCGAAGCCCTTCGCGTCGCCCACGCGCATCGAGGCGCTGGCGGAGGAGGCCGACTGTGACGGCGAGGGCTCGCCGACCGCCTTTTTGGCCAGCCAGGTGAAGGGCGGAGCCGGCGAGTGCGAGTGCTACGTCCTGGACCCGCTACGGGACTTCGTCGCCGCTGGAGATGGGCAGAGGAGTGGGCAGCCCTTCGCTCGCCGCCGCGCCCAGGACGGCGAGGACGTGAAGGACGAGCTGGACGTGATGACGTCCGTGTCGCAGCCCGCGTGCTGCACCCTCACGGGCAAGCCGCTGACGGAGCTGGTCGTCGAGGGCGTCGGCGGCAAGACGGGCGTCGTGCCGCTGGCAGTGGATGGCGTCGACGTCACCGCGCGGCTCGGCAGCGAGCTGGAGAGCGTCGACGGGCAACAGGACGTCGACCACAGCCCTGCGCGACGAGGGGGTAGGCCACTGCCACGGTGAGAGCAAGCTGAAGGGCCTCGACGCGAAGAAGGACTTCGGCTACTGCCAGCCCCTGCGTGGCGAGAAGGGGAGGGCACGGCGGGGGCGAGAGCGAACTGGTCCAGGCTGCGCCCCGATCCAGGCCAAAATCTCCACGGGGCCCTTTCAGCAGGATAAATAGATGGCACCGACGTGCCGAAGGACGTCGGCCACGGCGAACCCCTGGGTGGCGAGGGGGTAGGCCACTGCGATTTCGATGACAAGCTGGAGGGCATCGACGCGCTGCACGACGTCGACCACGGTAGACACCTGCATGGCGACGGGGTAGACCGCTCCGAGTGCGAGGGCAAGCTTGAGGGCGCCGGCGTGCTGAAGGACGTCGACCACGGCGAGTTGGCAGCGAGGCGCTGAATGACGTCGGCTACGTCGGACCCCTGCGTGGCGAGGGGGTAGGCCACGGCGAGTGCGAGGTCAAGCAGGAGGGCATCGACGTGATGAAGGACGTCGACCGCGGTGGACTCCTGCGTGGCGAGGGGGTCGGCCACTGCGAGTGCGAGGGCAAGCTGGAGGGCAGCGTGCTGCGGGACGTCGACCGCGGTGGGCCCCTGCGCGGCGCTGGTGTAGGCCACGTGGAGTGCGTCAAGCTGGAGGGCCTCGACGCGGTGGAGCGCAGGCTGGTGAGCATCGACAAGAAGGGCAGGCCGAGAGGCAAGGCCGCGCAGGCGGCGGAACTCGCCGCAGGCCTGCCCACCGCGGACGACGCCGTCCTCCGCCGAGCGCCGCGAGCTGGAGGCCCAGCTCGCAGCCGCCCGCGCCGACCTCGCCATCGAGGAGATCGAGGTGCGCTTGGCGGCGGTGGAGCTGGCAGCGGCGGGCGGTGCCTGAGACGAGCCCCCCCGCGTGAGGCCGCTGGCCTTCCCGTGCCTCGGGCGCGGGGGTGGGGCGTGGCGGCTCCACCGTCACTCTTGCACTTCTCTCTTATCCTTATTCCTTATTTGAATATACTCCTACTCCCCCCTCAGGCCGGCCATTAGGGGCCGCATCCGGGTGGTCCCATCCTAACCCGTAAAAAACAATACAAAATCAATATTTTTCTTATTTTTTCCTCTCGACATGGACGTCCTGTCGTCCACGGCGATAATCCATTGCAAAAAATACAGCAAAGAGCACACGCGCGCGTTCATGTCATAATCCTACCGAACACCGTGTGTTTGCAAGCATTTCAACAGAAACACATCAAAATCCACCGCTTTTTCTACAAAAATTGTACAAATTTCCCGCCCGGGCTCTCTTGCTGAAATCATAGGAAAACCATAGGAATCTTAAGAATTCGGTCGAATCCAGCGATTTCACGTCATCGCGCGGTGCACTCGCGATGCTCTGTCATGCACCCAGGCCGCGAATCCTGTGCAAAAAATACCACACAGAGCACACTCGCGCGTTCATGTCAGAATCCTACCGAACACCGTGTGTTTGCAAGCATTTCAACATAAAAACATCAAAAACCCAATGCTTTTTCACAAAAATGCTTTGGGGTGTCCTGTCAGACCGTCGGGCTTCCTCCGGCCACCTCTGGCTTCCTGCGGTGTACCGGGCCATTCTCGACTCGTCTGGCAATGCGTGCGCGGCATTCAACATGCGCTCGCCAGTTCGGCCGCATCAGCTGTACCAAACCGGCTGGCCGGTGTGACTTCGGTCCCCAGTTGTGCCAGCTTTGCTTCTTATGTTGTGGGAGGGCGGGTGGGACTGGGCATGCCATGCTTGACTCGCTCGAGCTGGCTAGCTTGACTCTCATTCTTACTCCTCCTCCTCCTCCTTCTCATCCTCCTGCGCCTCCCCCTCCTCTTTCGGCACGCCACTCGCGTGTTTCGCGGCCGCGATTGGAGCTCCCCCGAAGGCCCCAGGGCCAGGGCCCGCTCGGTGGCGCCGCCCCACCTTCGGCGCACATGCCTCACGCGCGCGCCGTGGCCCCGCGCGGGGAGCTCCACCAACCGAAGAAGGCCCAAGTGGCAGGGTCCGCATGGCGACGCCGCGCCCATTCTCCTCTCCACCTCTTCCTCCTCGTCCTCCTCCTCCTTCTTCCTCCTGCGCCTCCTCCTCCTCCTCCTCCTCCTCCTCCTCCTCCTCCTCCTCCTCCTCCTCCTCCTCCTCCTCCTCTTTCGGCGCACCGCTCACGTGTTTCGTGTTCGCGACTGGAGCTCCCCCGAAGGGCCCGCACATGGCGGCGCCGCCCCACATTCGGCACGCGCCTTGCACGGTTCGTGGCCCCACGGGGCGCTCCACCAGTAGAGGTCCCAGCGGCAGGGCGCCACCACAACGACACACCAGTCACGTGTGTCGTGGCCGCGATGGGAGCTCCCCCGAAGGCTTCACTGCCAGGTTTGCATGTCGCACCCGCTTTTAATCCGGCACGCGCTTCTTGCATATCGTGGCCCCCGCAGGGAGTTTCACCGAAGGCCGAGGCGACAGGGGCGGTAACCACATGTGTCACAATTTCATCTGGTTGGGTCATTCGCCAAGCTAGTTTTCATGGTGTAGTGAGATCGCCTGAAGCGAAACACACCTATCGTACCTTTAAAACTGTAGGGAAAGCGGCACATTGGTCTCATCCGTGCTCAGGCGCACTGATGTGGCAATCCGTGGAGACGTGCGCTGGCTCGCCCAACGCCGCCCAGGGTGATGGCCGAGGGGCGCTGCGATTGCAGCGCAGCGTGGGTGGGTGGATCTGGCCGTTCATGGCGCGACTACGGAGGCGCACGCAAACAAGGAGGGGGCCGTTCTTGTGCCTGCAACGCCAGCTGTGATGGCAGGTTGTGGTGCCGCCACCATTTTGTGCGCTACGGCGGATGCTATCGGAGATTCGAGGAGGAGGAGGACGAGGAGAAGGAGGAGGAGGAGGAGGAGGAGGAGGAGGAGGAGGAGACAAAGGAAGAGGAGGAGGAGGAACATCAGCAAGAGGGAGGAGGAGGGAGGAGGAGGAGGAGGAGGAGGAGGAGGAGGAGGAGGAGGAGGTGGTCGAGGACCAGTGGAAACCCAAGATTCATCAACGATGTTGAATTAACCCTCCCCACCCAAACGGGGGGTGATGGTCGACGAGGCTGCCGCAAACTGGAGTTCTGACGGTGTTCACTCGACTGGGTGCCCCTGGAGGGTGTCCGAGGGAAGGGAAGCAGCACCACCACCAGCGTCCACGGTGCCCCCCCCAAGCTGGATATCGGGGGGCACACCACGCAAGAGAGACCATGTTGGCACTGGCCTCTAGTGGTGGTATCGCCCTTCCTTGGCCCCCTGGATATCCTGGTAGGATTTATTGTTTCGGCGCATTTGCGGAAACACGAGCGCGAGTCCGCGGTCCGCCCCCCCCCCCCCCCGGCACGTTTCTTGCCCTCGTGTGGCGTTCGTCTCCCCCCTATGGGGCCGGGTAGTGGCGCACCCCTCGCTGTGGCCGAGGCGAGCCCAGACGCATGGCGCCTGGAGAACACCGAGGCGGCTAGATTGTCGAAGAACGACTCGGGATGAACAACCAGCCTTGGGACGGGAGCCGGGGGCCCCGCACATCGACAATTGGATGCCCGGGCGCCACTTGTCCTGGAAGCGGCGCCCTGGTGCCGACGCGGGCCCGGCTGCTGGACGACGGACAGTGGCGACGCAGTGTTCGGGGCGTTCGAGACGGGGGGGTGAGGACTACGACTGCGTGGATCGGGCCGGACGAAAGGGGGGGATTGGGAAGGGGGGGGTACGACATTTGCTGCATGCAGCTGGTCTAGGCCTCACCGAGGGGCCCATTCCTCGATACATAGTCGCCTCTGGCGCCGGGAGGCGCCGGGAAAATCAGCTACTACTATAAGCTGATTCTCACCCCCCCCTTTGCTATCCCCCCCTTTCGCCCGACCCGAGTGGATGTTGTGGTTGGGGCCATGCCATCTGGCCGTCCAGGAGGGCTCGGCGCCCGTCAACCACAGCTTCGCTGATGACGAACACGTGGACGAGCCGCTCCGCCGTGGACGCGGGCCGCGCAGTGGAGACGGTGCCCAGCTCGGCAGTAGTCGCCGTGCGCCGCCCGGGCAGGCAGCTCGTGCGCTCGGTGAGGGCAGGCGCCGCCCGCGGCCGCAGGCCAACAGTGTCCTGGCGGTGGGGTCGGCGCAGTCTTGGTGGTGATCGCTCTCGGGGGGTCAGCTGGTCGACAGGGCGGCCTGTGGGTCGAGGAGGCGCGGGCCCTCTCCTAGCAGGCCGCAGCGCCTCGTGTACCGCGGGAGGGCTCGCCAGCGGGCCTCCGAGATCACGGAGGTTGGGTGCAGCCGCTGCCGGGCGCAGCAAGCGCCTCGCCACACCGCGTGCTGCTGAGCTTCTTCTTCCAGGTCGCACCGGCGGCACAACGGAGAGGGATCAGCGCACACGTGGGCCCGTGACTTCCTCTGTTGCGTACAGCGGGGGCGCTGAAGAAGGAACCCTTTTCGTTGGGGAGGGGCTCCGTGTTCCTGAATTGTTTCGCAGCTTGCCTTATGTGTTCCTTAGGTTTTCGATATGTAATCGAAGTTTAACTTATGGGAAGTAGGGGCCTCGTTCCTTATTTAGGGTTCCTTAGATCGACGCCCCGACTGTATGGTCGCATCCACAGAGGTACACGGTATAGTTGTATACGTGAAGAGGAGGCCGCGACTTTGTTGTTGGGGAGTTCTGGCTCGGCCCATGGCGCGGGCAGGCCGGGTGGTGGCGCGCGTGCCAGACCGCCAGACCGAGGAGTTTGTGCCACTCGGGGCCGACGCCGCAAACGAAGGCCCTCCTCCTCCTCCTCCTCCTCCTCCTCCTCGTCCTCCTCCTCCTCCTCCTCCTCCTCCTCCTCCTCCTCCGCTTCTAGGCTTTGAGCGAATCCCAGCAGTCCACTCCTGGAGTAGAACCCCCGACTAGCCGCAGCCTTCTGGGATTCGAATCCTGGAATGGCCTCCCAGAAAGGCCTGAGGTCTCGATTTCAGGGATCGGCCCCCTCCTTCGAAACCCTCGATCGATACCCCTCGTGTTCAGGGATCGACCCTCTTTCGATACCCTTCGATGGCCAGGGCCATGAAATCTGCCAGACTCCCTGCCCCCCCTCTCCTTTCGATACGCTTCTTGGTGCCCCCTCGTCCGCGCACGTGCCTTGCATGCCTTGCGCCCCCCCCCCTCTTGGACGCTCCCGACCCTGCAAGCCGCCGCCGGGCAGACGCGCCCCGTCCCCCTGCCGTGGGTTTCGCCGGCCTCGCGGCGCCCCTTGCGGCAGACGCGCGCCTGCGGCCGGGGGACGCCCGAGCGGCCCACGACCAGAAACCTCCCGTCGCTGTGATCCCACGACAGCACGGCGGGAGTTTCCATGGCGCGCGTTGTCCTCCGGCACGCCCACGCAGACTCTCTCACGGCCCGGTCGTGGGCACATGCAGAGTCACTGGAGTGTGCTGCCCTCCCGTCGGCGTGCACGGGCTTTGCACCACGAGTCAATGTGTTCACTGTCCTGGGGCCTGGTGAGGGCTCCCCAGAAGCCGAGAATCGAAGAAGACAAAACTACATAAACATACACTTCCAGCGCTCCACGCGGATTTCTTGGATCGGCGCTGGGCACCCCAGCGGCGCCTCCAGCGCCGCCCCTGACGCGCTCCGCTCGCCATGGAGGGGGGTCCAGCGCGGATCCGAGAAATCTGCGCGGAGCGCCAAACGTTTCTGTTTATGCCACTTTTTCTTTTTTCTTCCTCTACTGTTGAGTCACTGAAGTCTTGTTCTCCAGGCGGCTTGGATGGGCTTTTGCACCACGAGTCCTTGTGTTCCCTGTCCTGGGGCCTGGTGAGGGCTCCCCGAAGGCCGGAAGCGGCCATACACCGCCAATGGGCGCAATTCCTGGGATCACATGCGTGCCG